CATACTTAATGGGATAACTTACATAATCTACTATCCGGCCAGACCACATCGTCTCCCACACAAGCAGGGTTCGCGGTCAAAGGCATAATGAGTCACGCGGGGCGCTTCAGAGAATTGGCCGTGAGAGCGCGGGCAGCGGAGAGTCACATGGGGGCATGCAGCCGGGTATGCGATAAAAGTGTCAGCGTAAGGCTGATCGCAGGACCGCTACAAACTCACTGGTCCGACTGCGAGGTCTGAGTTATCCTGTCAGTTGGAGACCCCCAAGCTCCGTCTATTAGCGTATCGTGATAAATTCAAATGCATCAGGTAGCTTATAGGAAAGAGTGTACACTGGCGGTGGCCCTTTCTCGCTCTTTCCTCCATTGTGCACCAGATGATTGTTCGACCCGGTGTATCAACTGAAGCTGAGAGAGAGCGCGCAGCGTCTGACAGCGTTAGAGAGCCCGTCTGTGTATGCCACACAACCCATCAGGATTTTACACAAGGGACTTTGGCGACTTAGATATCGCATGTGTAAGTGCACCATAGAAGCGAAGTCCATCATCCCATACAAAAACATTGGGTTTACTGCGAGGTCTAATTTATACAATCAGTCGGAAACCTTACAAGCCATCGCTTTCTAGCTCACCATGATAGGTCTAAGTGCGCCAGATTGTTTATAGTGAGGAGGAGGAACTGAGAGTCATCCTCTCTTCTCCCTCTCGGACACCAGTCGAGCCCCCAGGTGCAGGTCATCTACAGATTCATATTCACGAAAAGTGGCGGCTGAAGCCTCTGACCCATCAAATTCCAATTTAGGGTGCCCGTTACCGTTGAGATTTAGCTGACGTCCATCCAAAGGCAAACTATTGGGAAAGCATTTTGTTGAACCCCGCTGCTAGTCTAGCTGAAAGTGCCAGGGCATGCCCGCAGTCTTTGATGAGTATTGTACTAGAAAAGATCACAGCTTCACTGCGGGCAATATTTTTAATATTTAAAAAGCTGACCTTAATATTAAAAGAAACAACCGAAAATGGGTATCTAGACCTAACAGAGTATAAACAGTTGTATCGGAAACATGGAGAACAATCTCTCTCATTTTTCATCGAAGAAGGAATAAGAACAGACCGCTCGGGAATAAGTGTCGATGGAACAAATTACCAGCTAGTCCAGGTATTCCGTCACTCAAAACCAAGCAAAAATTCAGCTCACGCTGCGGAGGACAAACAAGTCTAGGAGAGAAGAGCGCAAAGTACTTCCTCGTCAATGGTCCTTAAAGGCGGCGATTTTAAAGTGCACTTTTCGTTTGCTATAAGTAGAAATCGCTTAACTGTCTCAGATGGTAAATATCTAATTCGTTTTGTTTGTCCGATCTCGTCGCAAAGGCCCCCTAACCTGCTGACCGCAGGTTTTAAAAATGTTGATAATGTCAATATATGTAGAGTCAGTAAGCTGAACTTGGGTACTTGGTAGGTTAACCGAGATAAAAACCA